TGTGACAGACTGAGAACTGCTGCTGGATGGTGTTTATCCAGGGAAGAATGAGAGAGGGCAGGTGCTTTTCAGGGACTGGGGAGGGAAGGAAGGGTCCAGTGATTGGAGCCCAGAGTGAGACAGAGGCAGAGCCAGGGCTAGGTGGGAAGGAGGCCAGGCGAGGGGACCTGCAGTAATGGGCCAGCACTTGAGGGGCAGAAGCATAGCTATTTTGAGACAAGGGGACTTAGGGCTCAGGTGAGATTTTCTCCCACTTTTTTTATGGATTTCTCAAAATCAGAAGCTAGTTTTCTGGAAATCTGCTTGCCTATAAGCTGTTTTTATTTTAGGTAAATATTCCTTTTTTTTAGGTAAATGTTCCTTTTTAACATTCCCTTTGAATTTAACAAAGCTTTCTGTTGAAGATGCTCCTTGATATCAATGTGCTAAAGAGGGAAGGAGGGATTTCAAAGGAGCCTTGGGGGGTAGGCCAGAGTTTAGGGCTAGGCCCCATGCTCTGCTGCAGTTAACCCTCCCATCCTGGCTGTGCTGATGGGTTCCCCACAAGATCTGTCTCACCTTTGGAGGTTCCTTGAACGGTTCGCTATAGAGGCTGCGTATTCTTCTGCGATCAATGACCTTATTGTCAGCTGCTGTTGGCTTATTGGCCTCCCCTTTGAACTGGGCACTGTAGCTGGTCTCATGAGCCATCTTATCATCTGGGGGCTTGTACTGGGGCTTGGCTTTTATTGGTTTCACAGGCTTGATGTCCGTCCATGCTCTGAATTCATTCCTGTTAGTGAAAGAGAACATAAGTAAAATGAAGTGTCATTGGTCCACAGGCAGTGCTCCTAACACAGGGCTGCAAACACAGCAAGTTCTCAATTAGTGCTGAAGTGAGGCTGGAGAGTTAGCTTCACTCTTTCATCATGAAGTTAAAGATTTCCTTCCTGCAAAGTTGACCGAGGTTGTAGCAATAGCAGTAATGCCTTGGAGAAAGAGCTCAGGCTCCCAGCTCCACACTGTGATCATGGACAGGCAATTCTAATCTTGGGGCCTTATTTCCCCCAACTCTAAAATGAGGCTGAAAAAAACCCAACCCATTCAGTCATTCACAAATTCAAAAAATATTGAATGCCTGTTATGTGCAAGGTTAAAGAGTTGTACAACTAATGACACAATTTATTAGGTGTACAGCCTACTATATTGTACCTATCAACAAATGCCAATTCCCCTCCCTCGCTTTTTGTAATGAAGAACCTTTGTTGTTCAGAATCATTAAGGATAACTCCTTCCTTTGAATAGTAGAGTGCTTGCTTCTTATAGCACCAGAGCTTTAACAACCTAAATTACTTTAGATGAAAATACTTGTGAAATGTCTAAATGCTTGTAGATCTTAAGCAAAATGTACCGAAAATAATCTGGACATCACATCTAAGACTTGTGTTGAGAGATGTATGTGTAAGAGAGTCTTCATGAGATTTGGTGTGAATGGTTATTGGTCTTTACTCTAGATGGCCCTCATCTGCTGCTTTTCTGAGTCAATATGCCAGTTTTCTTGTTCACAGCAATTCCTCTTGTGGTTTCTAATCAGCTGTTTCTGATCTGTTATAGGGCTGGAAAGTAGTTGGCCGACAATGTTCAAAATGGGCTAAAATAAATGTAGCTGCTGATGGGGGCCACCAGAGTCCATCCTGATTAAGTGCATGAGATTCAATGCATAAGCTCTGTGGCTCCCAAGGTCTTTATAGGTCTCTTTGGGGCCATGAGAAGCTGTGTTGTGGGAGTTTGCATATGAATATCTGTGGAGTTAGGCTCTTCCAAGGCCTGCTTTCCCCTCACTGATAGCTCCCTCCTTCAAGGCTCAGAAATGACTGCTGTGACCAGGGGCCACAGGGGGCGGTGGGAAGAGCTTAGACTGGCAGCATGGGTTCTAGGCCCAGCTCTGCCTCTAACTAGCTTTTGAGTAGACCTCTCCTCACCCTAAGCCTTAGTTTCCTCACTTGTAAAATAAGATAATTAGGCTAGATAAGGTCCTTATAATGTCTTCTAGCCCCGAGACTCTTTCAGCTGAGAAAGCAAGTTTGGTAACCACGGGCCACTTGCTGGTCATTTAACCTCCTGACCTCTGGATTTCTTGAGAGATACTGGCTCATTTGTGAAGAGAGAGACCACCGTCTCTTAAGAGCCCCTCCTTAAGCTTCAAATTCACTTTTCCAGTGCAGCTCGGGCCTCCACCTAGATGCCTCACTGTAGGGAAAGTGAAGGAAAATGGTCAGGTTCCCTCAGATGTTCAGAATCTTGCTGAGCATTTGATGTAAATATGCACAGGCACCAGGTATTCCTTGTTTATTATCTAATGTAATTGTGCATGTGCACCCAGGTATCCTGGGTTATGGACTGCTGTATAGAGGATGAGTGGCTCTAATCCACAGTGCCCCCCGCCCCCAGGGGGCCACGGGGAGGCTGCTGCTGAAAGCTGTTACTGCCAGTGTCCCCGGGATGCCCTGAGAGGCCACTGCCGCTGGTGCTACTGCTGCTGTAAGCTGCTGCTTCTACTGCTAAGGACTGAGCTTAGGTCATCTGCCAACAGCTCCCAGGATCTTTCCCAATTACCTAGCGTGGACCTGCATATGAGGGGTCTGGTGACCCAGTCTGTACAGTGGGCTTGAAGGGTCTGAGCCCTAGCCCTGACAACATACATGGAAACTTAGTATAATTAAAATAATGAAGGGTCGGCCCGGTGGCGCACTGGATAGTGCGCCGCTTGGGAAGCGCGGCGGTGCTCCCGCCCGAGGGTTCGGATCCCACATACAGACCGGTTCCCGCTCACTGGCTGAGCGAGGCGCGGGAGCAGCGCCGAGGTTTGCAATCCCGTTGCCGGTCCCCGGTCCGGTACGGGGGCAACACTGAGGGTTGCGATCCGTTGCCGGACACGGAAAAAAGATAAAAGACAAAAATAAAAATAAAAATAAAAATAAAATAAAATAAAATAATGAAACGTTTTGGCTTTAGTTATGGGTTGCTGTAACTCAACAATTGGTGTACTCTGTAGCAATATACCCCACCAACTCAGACTCAACATCCCTAGACTAAAATCTTGGCTCCCCTGCCAAATTTTCTTCTCCTGGATTCCAGTCATAGTTCACCTTTACCCACTCATTCATTCACAGAATAGTTCCTGAGTGCTTACAGTTTGTCTGCAGAGCCCTGAGCTCAAGGTGCAGGAGGCAGAGGAGTTTAAGGTTCCTCCAACACAAGATGGTGAGAGAAGGGGGGAGGGGGAGCATAGAGAAAGACCTCCCACCCCAGGGGGCTAGGGAGGGGTTTCTGGAGCGGAATCAGAGAGGCTGATGGGGGTTGGCCAGAGAGGAAGGAGCAGGTTCTNCAGCACTGAGGGTTGCGATCCCGTTGCCGGTCCTGGTCCGGTACGGGCGTGACACTGAGGGATGCGATCCATTGCCGGACACGAAAAAAGACAAAAAGGAAAAAAAAAAAAAAAAAAGAGTCTTCATGAGATTTGGTGTGAATGGTTATTGGTCTTTACTCTAGATGGCCCTCATCTGCTGCTTTTCTGAGTCAATATGCCAGTTTTCTTGTTCACAGCAATTCCTCTTGTGGTTTCTAATCAGCTGTTTCTGATCTGTTATAGGGCTGGAAAGTAGTTGGCCGACAATGTTCAAAATGGGCTAAAATAAATGTAGCTGCTGATGGGGGCCACCAGAGTCCATCCTGATTAAGTGCATGAGATTCAATGCATAAGCTCTGTGGCTCCCAAGGTCTTTATAGGTCTCTTTGGGGCCATGAGAAGCTGTGTTGTGGGAGTTTGCATATGAATATCTGTGGAGTTAGGCTCTTCCAAGGCCTGCTTTCCCCTCACTGATAGCTCCCTCCTTCAAGGCTCAGAAATGACTGCTGTGACCAGGGGCCACAGGGGGCGGTGGGAAGAGCTTAGACTGGCAGCATGGGTTCTAGGCCCAGCTCTGCCTCTAACTAGCTTTTGAGTAGACCTCTCCTCACCCTAAGCCTTAGTTTTCTCACTTGTAAAATAAGATAATTAGGCTAGATAAGGTCCTTATAATGTCTTCTAGCCCCGAGACTCTTTCAGCTGAGAAAGCAAGTTTGGTAACCCCGGGCCACTTGCTGGTCATTTAACCTCCTGACCTCTGGATTTCTTGAGAGATATTGGCTCATTTGTGAAGAGAGAGACCACCGTCTCTTAAGAGCCCCTCCTTAAGCTTCAAATTCACTTTTCCAGTGCAGCCCAGGCCTCCACCTAGATGCCTCACTGTAGGGAAAGTGAAGGAAAATGGTCAGGTTCCCACAGATGTTCAGAATCTTGCTGAGCATTTGATGTAAATATGCACAGGCACCCAGGTATTCCTTGTTTATTATCTAATGTAATTGTGCATGTGCACCCAGGTATCCTGGGTTATGGACTTCTGTATAGAGGATGAGTGGCTCTAATCCACAGTGCCCCCCACCCCCAGGGGGCCACGGGGAGGCTGCTGCTGCAAGCTGTTACTGCCAGTGTCCCCGGGATGCCCTGAGAGGCCACTGCCGCTGGTGCTACTGCTGCTGTAAGCTGCTGCTTCTACTGCTAAGGACTGAGCTTAGGTCATCTGCCAACAGCTCCCAGGATCTTTCCCAATTACCTAGCGTGGACCTGCATATGAGGGGTCTGGTGACCCAGCCTGGCATGTAAGGGGTCTGGTGACCCAGTCTGTACAGTGGGCTTGAAGGGTCTGAGCCCTAGCCCTGACAACATACATGGAAACTTAGTATAATTAAAATAATGAAACGTTTTGGCTTTAGTTATGGGTTGCTGTAACTCAACAATTGGTGTACTCTGTAGCAATATACCCCACCAACTCAGACTCAACATCCCTAGACTAAAATCTTGGCTCCCCTGCCAAATTTTCTTCTCCTGGATTCCAGTCATAGTTCACCTTTACCCACTCATTCATTCACAGAATAGTTCCTGAGTGCTTACAGTTTGCCTGCAGAGCCCTGAGCTCAAGGTGCAGGAGGCAGAGGAGTTTAAGGTTCCTCCAAGACAAGATGGTGAGAGAAGGGGGGAGGGGGAGCATAGAGAAAGACCTCCCACCCCAGGGGGCTAGGGAGGGGTTTCTGGAGCGGAATCAGAGAGGCTGATGGGGTTGGCCAGAGAG